AACCTTCATCCAATACATGGTATTACACACACACACACACACACACACACACACACACTTTGTACATATTTATTCTGCAGAAAAATTGTATGTATCTGTGACTTTAGCAGAATGAGGAACATAAAATAAGGCATGGGTTGGACCCATGCCTACATGATCAATTGATTAATGACAAAGGAGCCAAGAATATGCATTGAGAAAGTACAGTCCCTACAAAAAATGGTGCTAGAGAAACCGCTCAGTCACAAGCAAAAAAAGTTGCCACCATCTTACAATATAACAAAAATGAGCTCAAAATGGATGTGAAAATTGAATATATGACCTGAAACCATAAAACTATGTACCTACATTTGTAGCTATGTTTGGTGATAGATGTTTACTGGACTTATTGTGATGATCATTTCTAAATATACACAAATATTGATTGAATATGGTATACATCTGAAACTAACAAGTTACATGTCAACCATGCCTGAACTAGATAAATAAGTGAATAAATAAGTAGAGGTTGGTGACTAAAGAGAAACAGTGATCTGTAGATATTTAACTAGAGTAGGATTTTGACAGAAGCTATAAAATATTTTATTTTACTTTTTTTTTTACCACTTTCTCAACAGTATTTTATTTTGATTTTGGGGGAGAAGGTGGCCTGAGGATTTCAGAGACAATAAATATACCTTAAATAGAAGTATTAAGGTAACTTCCTATGACATAAGTTGATCAATTGGATAAAAGACCTACTATTTCATATTACCCAAAACCTACTGGTCAAATGACAAGCATTATAAGACAAGTTCTCTAAAGAATTTATAAGGAGAATTTCTCAGATTTTTAGGTATCTAAAAATTATCTGCAGTGTTCATGAAAAATGAACTCTAAGCCCAAAGCCCAAATTTTAAGTTAGTAGGATCAGGGTGGGGCCTATGAATCTGCACATTACTGAGCAACTCGGAGACTGGAAGAAGAGATGCAGACACTACTATGGAGGTAAGTTTAGAAAGAGGCAGACCCTGCGGTGGGAGGGGCTCAGTTTTGATGCTGTAATTGGTAAACTGGCCTTGGGCAAGTCATTTCCCTTTTATATACCTCATTTCTATCACTGGTAAAATTATAAGGCTAATGCATTGCTGAAAGAGACCCTTAAAGGCTGCAGAAACAAATATTTGTGACTAGAACTAGCATAATACCAGCACCTAGCAGATGCCCAATCCCCTGGATCTCAATCTGAATTATGTTTGTAGTTTAAATTATTTTGGGAATCCTTAGCAGTCCTTATTTTACTTTTTTCTCAGACCACTAAAAAGCCTCCCACGATGGAGTTCAAATACTACCACGAGGAGGGTGTGTAGACAGACTGCAAAGTGTTGTGTTTGATTTGGAATTTTAAAGCTCAATCAGGAATTAAGGTAAGCACAGGGACAGAGCTACTAAGAAAACTGGAAAGGAACAGACAGTCCTGGAATGTGGCAGCTCCTGTTTGATTTTAAATGTAAGTTAAATATTAATTAAAAAAAAAAAAAACCTCTTTCTCCAGGGAGACTTTTTTTTTTAATCCCCCTCCCTTATGTTGACAAATTGTTGGTGACTTGCCTTCCACACTAACTCACTTGGCGGAAAAAAAAGTTTTCAGATGATCCTATTTGTGTAAGGAAAAAAAAGTCTTCTAAACAGCCCTCTTGTCGCCAGCATCAACAGCAGCAGAACAGGGTTGAGTTGTTACATACTGAGAATTATTTCTTTCATTTCAAAGGCATCAAAGATGTTTGAGGCAATCAAGAGTCCTGGTAACACATGATCAAAATAAGCTTATATTACATTTGCTTATTTAAAGGGTAGATTAGGTCTACTGCTAAAATGTGAGTATATTTTTCATTGTTCTATACAAATTTTTCAGAAAAAAAGAGGAGTCATGTTTTAAAAACTAAGCTGATTTGGGGAAAATAAGAAGCATCTGACAATTTCTTTTCTAAATTCCTTTCTTCTGGAGATTCCCAAAAGCAAGCTGGTGTGATAATGCTGTTGACTTGTACATGAAAGTCAAAAGGAAATTCAAGCGTCAAGAGTCATTCCAAAAAATAAATAATATTTCCAATCAAAAAGGAAGTGACTAAATTCCTTTTATAGATTTTGGATGGAATCTGTTGTGCTTTGCTTTGGCTGTTCTTTGAGTCTGCAAGAAGTGGGGAATAAAAGCAAAATTGCAGACTTCCAGTGCATACCAACCCTAGCAAAATGTCAATATCTTCTGTTTCCAAAGGTTCCTTTTCTCAAATCATCATTTTGCCTTTTCAATTTATTTTTATATGTTCTTGTTTTCTTCTTCCCCTGAAAAAATTCACAAGACTATCACCCAGTGCTCCATAATATTTAGCATGTGTGTTTTATATTTTTTTACATAAAAATAAGCATATCACTCTGTCATTGTCTAACTATATGATCTTATAAGCCACACATTTCCTCTTTTGTAAAATAAGGCTATTGAATAAAATTAGCAGTCTCAAACTATATTTTATCTCTTGCTCACTGTTGATGTGTTAGGCTGGGTATTTCTTTGCTGTGGGGGGCTGCCCTGTTCCTTGAGGGATGGTTCTTTACTCAGATGTCAGTAGCACAACTCCACTCCATTTCCCCAGTTGTAACAAACAACATCTCCGGACTTCGCCAAATGTCTCCCAGGGAGCAAAGTCACTGACTAAATCAAAATAAGTGATTTTGATTAAGTGATTTTGTTGTTGTTGTTGTTGTTGTTGTTCTGATCCAGCCTTTAAAGACATATCAGATTGTCCTTCTAGGGGAATGGAAATCTAAGGGATGGCATGTCTCAGACTGACAGATCTACCCTTTAGACTCTAGCCTTGACTCTGAACCAGTGATTCTCAATCTTGGCTTCAGATTAGAATCACTTAGGAAACAAATAAACAAAATTAAATTCTCCAGTCATATTCCAGATCTATTCAGTCACAATCTCTCATAGTGGAAGTCATATATAAGTATTTTTGGCTCATCAGGAGATTTCAATGAGCAAATTTGAGATGTCAATTGAATACCATCTATAATGTCAAAGAGGTGTTAGTACAGAGGAAGATAATGTAGTAGAACACACAGGATTGAAAGCATGGCTGGTGTGGAGTTTAGCAGAAAGTCTGTTGTAGTCATCCAATAAACTTTTGACTATTTGCCAACGCCAGTCTTTCCCTTAAATTATCCTAGGTCTCTCCACCAAAAACCATCTTACAGGGTCTGCATTTCTATAGCATTCTGAATCTAATCTAACATGTACCACATTCTACCTTTATTATTATCCTATATAATACGGTTGTCTGCTTGACAACATTGTGAGCTCCCAGGATTCTGCCTCATTCATCTTTCCTTTCCCCCAGAACACCTACTTTGAGAGGAAGCATTCAAAGACACATTTAATAGACATATATTAAATCATGTGGAAATATCAGAGATAATCTGTCACAAAGTATCCTGTCAATTTGTCCTCAGTCCCACAGCAAGACTTCCTAGTCTAATATGTTTCAAAACTTCCACAAATGGATTGATAACTCTGGACTCCCAAGTCTTCATCTGAAAACAGGGATAATCCCTTGAGGAACATTCTGGACAGATGACCCAAGCACAAATTCTGGAACACTGAACACCCAATGCATTTAGGACACACTCAAGTCCAAACTGAAGTTTTTCCATCACTGGGATGAGCCAAATGAGTAAGGTTTGGTGGAGAAAATAATAAGAACATGACTATCAGTGTCCCTTGGAATTACACAGCCAGGGCTATCAGAGGTCAGAGTGGTCCAACCCAACAAAACTCTGGCAACCTCCTTGGCACGATGACAATTTCACACAAAATCTTCCTTGGAAATTCCCTATCAAGGACAGGATACATGTTCTTTCCCATTACCCTCTCACTCACCAACTCAGTAGCCAGGGAGATCGTGGTGAAGCTGGCACCGAAACTAGGAGGCCACAGGAGTGTCTCCAGGAGACAGATAGAGTCAAGAGTCCAGGACATAAACTCTCAGGAATCCTTGTGATCACGTGGAGCCAAAGAGCAGGAAAGAGGGAACACCTTGGCTCAGATAGTATTTATGAGAGAGGAGAAACATTGGAACCAGAAAGCCTCCAGCTAGTCCTGTGGAGTCTGGCAGCCATTTCTGTCAGCTTTCCCATTCCTAGATTGATGCTCATTGCTTAAGTCCTGTATGGGTACTGGATTTATGAAAACGCCTCTTTGTTCAACTTTTATAAGAAACTATGTCTGAAAATCATTTGACCTGTTGGGATATTTGGCTGTTGTAGGAGATGAGGAAACAGAGGCTTAGTTGAACAGGTCCTCTGTAATCTCAGGGAGGCAGAATATAAATAGAGCCGCTCCTTCCTCCAATAGCTCTCTGTTGTCCTGTAGTACAGCCATCTGCGCAGAAAGATGGAGTATTTATTTCTCCTCCCCTACCTCTACACCTGCTCCAGTGCACACACACCCATAGGGAACGGGATGAAAAGCAAGCAAGAGAACCTCCCTAAGGGAAGGAGCAGTTAGCATGATTCCAACGATCAGGGTTGAGTCCTTCCTTTAGCTTTTCACAGTTCTTCAAACTTGGGCTAATGATGTCACTCCTCAAGCCCCTTAAAACTGGACCCTCTAATGCCCTCCGCTCAGCCTGAGAAGGAGCTTCCATGCTTCAGCTGAAGGTGAAGGTGAAGGACTGCAAGCTCTGAAGTCATGCACACATTCCAGAACATGACTAGAGCTCTCTTCTCACTGAGCCAGATTTTCTTCCTCTCTAAGGAGGGAAGGATATCCTATCCATTCTCCAACGTAGGAGGAACCCCACGTGCAAAGTTCTTGGCCCTGGGCTGGCCTCCAGCAGCGCTCCCTCTCTGGCACTTGGGTGTGCAGCCCCTGGCTACCCGGCGGCTGCGGCCAGAAGCCTGCAGGGCGCGCTGAGCGCCGGGGAGCGGCTCGCAGAGGCTCGACAGCAGGAGGAGCGTGTGAGCTGTGGGCGTCTCTTTAAGAGCGGCCGGCCGGCCCGGCCTCCGCCTCTCAGTCCGTGGAGTGCCCACGGTCACCTGGAGCTCGCGGGGCAGCCAGACTGCTCCCTCCACGGAGGTGGGAGAGGGGCTCCGGTCGCTAGTGCCCAGAGCTGCCTGGGAGCGTGGCCGGCCAGCGCCTCTCCGCGGCGGAGGATGCGGGAGCGCATCTGGGCGCTGCTGCTGCGGCTGCTGCTGCTACCGCCGCGGCTGTGGGGCGCCCCCCGGACAGCCCGCGCCCCGAGCCGGAGCCTGAGCCGGGGCCTTTGCAGCCCTTCGACCTGCTCTACGCCAGCGGCGTGGCCGCCTACTACGGCGGGGACTACGAGCAAGCCGTGCGCGACTTGGAAGCGGCGCTGCGCAGCCACCGGCGCCTGCGGGAGATCCGCGTGCGCTGCGGCCGCCACTGCGCCGCGCGCCGCCCGCTCGCGCCCTCCGGCGTCGGGGCCGGGGCCGAGCTGCCCGTGTTCCGCGCCTTGCTGGAGCGGGCGCGCTGCTACCGCAGCTGCGAGAGCCAGCGCCTGGGGGGGCCCGCGTCCCGCCACCGCGTCAGCGAGGATGTGCGCAGCGACTTCCAGCGCAGAGTGCCCTACAACTACCTGCAGCGCGCCTACATCAAGGTACCCTGAGCGCCCACCTCGCGCTCCCTGCGGTTCCAGGATGCGCTCTAGAACCCTCCCCGTGACTCCTGTCCTCTGGTAGCCCTCCGTTCATTAGCCTTTCAGAGTGGGTCTCCTTGAAGGTTTCTCATTCTTCTTGGTGGATCAGGCTAAGTAGCCCGAGCTAGCGCTGGAACCACCACTAGGTGAACCTGGGCAAGTCATTAGCTTTCTGGACATCAGTTTCTCTCAGAGAGGACTGTACTGAGAAGGGGTTTAAAGTACCCATTCAGCAGTAATATCTGAGACTGGCAGCGTTGAGTCTATATAAGATCGCCTCTCTGTTCATTTCTTTCTTTTCTTTTTAAAAAATATTTATTTTTATTTATGCATACAAGAACTGGGGGACAGGGCAGAGGTGCTGGGATTGGGGTGAGAGGATTCACCAGAGACAGAATGGGAAACAGAACAAGCAGATCTACTGAAATACACTGCTAAGGGGAGCAGCGGGCGTGTCAAGAGAGGTCTGCTGTGCAGACTCTATGTGGGTAGCTCCCTGGCTGGGGATCGAACTCATGCTGCAGTGGCTGTGGACAGCTTCATAGGTTGCATCTTAACACCTTGTGCCACCAAGGAGGCCCTCTGTTCATTTCTTGATCTAACTTCTCATTTCTTTTCTGTCTACATTCCCTTATCAATCCTATGCTCTAGTCTTCCCCTTTTCTCTGATGTTTCAAGGAAAGCATTCTCAAAACCACAAGGTTAAATGCAGGCTTGCTCTGAAACAAGTGTGTTTCTCTTCCCTGCAACTACACAGAAGTAAAGATAAAAGGTTTAAGAGAAAGTATGTGTCAAAGAGTTGAATCTATGTGAGACGACCTCACTAAAATTGACTGCAGAATGTGACTTTTCCCCCCTATTGTAGATGGCTTTCAATGACTAGGAGTAACCATTTAACCAGGTTTGTGGACATCAGATGCCCAGCACTCTTATTTTTGTGTGTTTGCTTAAAGTTAGTGTCAGGAGGTACAAATTGTGTATTGGCATTTCCCCCACATTCACCATTTTGAAGATCTACTTGGATGCTTCAGCAGTGAGAATTTAGCCTATGTTCCTCAACAATCTCTCAAGCCCTGATGCTCTGAACTTATACTCCTCCCTCCCCCACCACACATTCTCCCCTTCTATGTTAATGAATCAATGTTTTTTCTGCAGTTGGATAAGTGGCGCTTTGGGGGGTAAGTTGGATTTCCTAGCCAATGTTGTGGGCTGTTTATCTGGGGTTGCAAAAAGAGACACCATGTTCAGATTTCCAGATGCCTTTTGCAGCTTATCTCTCTCAGATCTCTGCCCTAACAGTTGTTAAGATTCTCTGGAGGTTTGCAGTTGTCTGTGAATTTCAGAAAATCACAACTGAGACTAACTCTTACTCCCAGTGCTAGAGTTCTCTAGACTAGTATCTTGGAAATAAGGTGGAAGTCTGAATCTTTTCCAGGATTTGTCTTCTACTTGCTGTGCCTCCTGGTGGATTTGCTAAGGCATGTGTTAAGTATGAATCAGATTTCTTTTAAATGGGTGGCACAGAAATCAGGCCATAGTAGTCAGGGAGGGGACCTTGAATACTTGACAGATAAAGATGTACCATGCTAGTTTCTAGAGCAGAACATGGCTGGTCTTGTCTAGTCCCTGTGGTGTGGTCTTCCCAGGAATCTCAGATGTGAGATTGGCAATCCTGCTGATAGTTCCATCACACATTTAGGCTGATTTTTCTATCTCAGGTATGGAAAAGGAATGCATAGTTATGTTCAGTTCTATAAAAATAAATAACCATGATGTAACTCTCAAAATGTGAATTTCTTTGGTGCTGTAATTAAGCTTCACTGTCAATGTTAACCTTTATCAGTCATTCTGCTCCTGTACCCTGCTTAGAGGTCAAAGAAGGTGAAGCCAAGGGTTTAACATGCCTCAAACATTGAATTAATTCCAGGAATTAGTCACTCATGGGCACCTCTGTGGGTGAACTATTGGGTGTGGTCTGATGAACCAAAGGAGTGTAAAGAGTCCTTTCTAAAATATGTGAATTCATGTGGTAATTTTTATTTCCCAAGCAATGTTTAGTCTTGCATCTTTTTACTATTTACTTCCAATCCAGTAGGCAAAGTTTCTTGGCGCTACATAATTGATAGTCTCCCAAGAAGGAAATTTATTCCTTTGGAAATTTATTTTTGAGTGTTGGAGTTTGCAGGAATGTCTCTGTGAGTGTCTAATAAGGTGTGTCATGATTACTCATTCCCCTCTACCCAAAACTTCACAATGTTAGGTTCTGTTTGATTTCCTGGGAATTTCACTAACACATGCATACACAGATACATGCATATACAAACAAACACACATGCACACACAGAGACACACACACTATTCTTTGGAGTAGAGAAAAATTCTCAAATTATGACAGAACAGTCCTCGACTCTAATAAGTGTGCATCCTGGAGTGTACCTAGATGTGATCATGCTAACTTGTGTTGTTGAATTGCTTTTGACATCAGTGATCCAGTTTGTACTTGAAAAGATAATCCTAAATGAATTGAATTAAATGATGACTTTGTAGTCTGTTGTTGAGAATTGTGAATCCTATAAAAGATCAAAACTAGCAAGCCTCCAGGAGATAAAGTAGTTATTCTCAGCTAGGGTTTTCCAATGTGTGGAAATTCTTCAAAGTGCTGCTTCTTCCCCAAATCCTTGCTAGTGAGGCACTGGTAGAATTGGGTCCTTTATGCTGAGTTCCATTGTGTTCAGTTTCTCAATTCAAAGATGGGGAAAGGGAGATCAGAGAGAAAGGGGCTCTTCTATTTGCTGTGCCTCCTGGTGGATTTGCTAAGGCATGTGTTCAGTATGAATCAGATTTCTTTTAAATGAGTGGCACAGAAATCAGGCCATTGTAGTCAGGGAGGGGACCTTGAATACTTGACAGTTAAAGATATACCATGTAACACATATGATTTGGTTTGATGAATTGAACACAGGTCTGAGAACCAGGAGCCTGGAATCTTCCTGCATCAGATGTCCATGCTGTGCTGTGCCCACTGCTCTGTAAGGGTGTCTTAAGTCCCAGGGAATGCTACAGTCCCCAGGGCTACCCTTATGCCAGATTTGGACAGCTCCAGGAGAGTATGTCTTTGTCCTCTAGCTAACCGACACTCAGAGCACTTATCTTAAGGCCTGTTCTGTGCCTGGAATCTTTCTTAACGCTTGGCATGTGGGGAATGTATTCAGACAACAATGAGGTAGCAGTTCCACTTTGCTCCTAGCCATACTTTTTTGTTTAAAGGCAGAGTGAGACTTCAAACTTTTGATTTTTATCCTGTGAGATGGTAAGCTTTAACTTATGATTCACAGCCTAAAGCCTAAGATAGTGCTTTTAGCAGGGTATTCTTTGTGCATGATACATATGAAGGCCACTTATTTTAACACAGCAGCCACAGCCTGGTCCCCCTGACTTTCCAGGCCCTCTTTTCTTCTTCTCTGCCATCCTCTCCCCTGAGAGAGCAATAGATTCTTGGTCTTAAGTGTCTTACACTTTCACACATCTGGGCTTTGTTTGTTCATCTTTGGGAGGAATGTAGGCTCTGGAATGGGCTAGATCTGGAAGTGAACTTCCCTCACTCAGTCTCTAGCTATGTTACTATGAACAAATTACATAAGCTCTTTGAGCTTCAGTTTCCCATCTGTAATAGGGAGAAATAAGAGGACTACCTGACTGGTATAGGTTACATTTACAGAGGATTTATGTAAAGCACTGGAGAACTGTTTCTTCTTTTTGTTAGTTATAGTGCTAGATGTTCCCTCCTCTACAAGTGGCAACTCTCCTACTACAAATACATCTATTTCCATGAGGCTCTCTATGACTCCCGGTGTGTTTCCCAGCAATTCATCATCTTTCCTTCTAAATGACCACACCAAGGAGTGGGTCCCCTCATGACATTTTCCATTTTGAACCTTGTTTTGGAGAAACTGTAAACTTGCCTACCCCTTATGTAGCTCCTTGTGATCAAGACCTGTTTCAGTCATTTTGTATCCCCTAAAGTAGGAGTTTTCATGTCTGGATGATGATTAGATGGATGATTATTATTAATCATCTGGGTCATTAAAAATATGAATTAAAATTAGATATTTAGTTTCCATAGGTTTGATCTGGGTCCTCCACTTCTCTCCTCCCTCCTTTTCCCCCCAAATACCTAAAACAGGGCAGAAGCAGTCTGCATGCAGTATGTTTGTTGAATTGATAATGGCTGGGCTCCATGAAATATTGAGAAAGATTTCTTTGTGAGCAGAAGGTTTTCTCTCAGTTGTTTGGTTTCCTGGCTGGTCAGTTAAGGGAGAAAGTGACAGAAAAACTTTAGATGGCCTGACTTCTTACAAATTTTACTTGCAAACTCAGGCTAGAATTGCAAATTTCCTTCCTGGCCCCTATAATTTTCCTAATTTAATCCTTACTACTAAAACTGTGCTTCAGAGAATCCTTGATACATTGTGCATCCCTTATGTACATTTGTTGAATTTAAACCAGTTTAAGGGACATATCATCTTCCCCTCCCCAACCCCAACCCATGACTTATTTATTTTAGAACTGGAAGTTTGTACCTTTTAGCTCTGTCAAAAGAGAGATACTTTTATTTATTTTTTTTCTTTGCTGTGTGCTTTATAATCAGGAATATTTGACGGTGTCTGTTTTTCTCCCACTGTTCCCAGCCACTTAAGGGGAAAAAAAAATTGTACTACTGTTTATTTATTTACGTAAAACAAGCTTGTCCCTGCATGCTTTGCTTCTGAGTAGCAGCTTTAGTCATTTGACCTGTGTTTTTCTACGTAGGATTAAAGGGGGGAAAATGGAAATATGGCTAAATTAGGCAGGTCTGTTTCTGTCTCAGTCATCTGGCTAAACTTTCTTTATCTTGACCATAATCTATTTTATTAGTGGTTTCTAGAAAAGAAAGAAAAGTAAGTGCAAAGAATTTCTCATTC